AAGACATTGGATATTTGTTTCCTAAATACTTATATTGCTTACAAAATTTTGTTAATCGTACCGGTTACAATTGCATTTGCGGAAAGAAGTTTCTCGAAATTGAAGTTGATCAAGACCTATCTCTGATCAACTATGTCATAAGAAAGATTAAACGGGTTGACTATGTTATCAATAGAAATAGAAATGGTTGAGCAGCTAAGTTATTCAGATTTGAATGATGTTTTTGCTTCTAAAACAGCAAGACGAATAGTATTTAACTAATTGTTTGAAATTTTTGGTTTGATGTTTTATAATATAAATCGTTTCTATGATATATTTCGTTATTATTTTAATGTTAGTTTTTTAAGTTAGCAGTGAGTCGCATAATATACCTTTGAATTTTGTCACTGAGGAGCCTAATTTTCATCGTTCGTCTCAAGGCCCATCAAATATAGGACCGGCTCTGTCCACACCCTCACATAGGGTGGGACTCACGTGAGGTTACCGACTCACAACTCATTGGAGTGCGTGGGCTACTTTATGCCACATGATGCTCAATTTTAAAAAATTAAATCACGCTACATGAACATAAAGTTTGACATAATATCACGTGACATTTTATCACTGGACAATTTTAAATACAGTAAACTTTTCCATCCAATCACTTTCTTCCACATACAATTACATCAAAATTTCTGTCAAATTCTTTTGATAAAGTGGCATTAACCATTTATTCAAATCAAAGTCAAATGCATGTCACCTCATCATTTATCAAAGAATGTGTAAAAATACCCTTCAACTTTTTTTTTGACACCTTATTAATCTGTAAAAGATTATGTAAATGGTGATGTATAACAAATATTTTTCTATAATATTAGGTTTTTTTTTTCTTTATTTACACAGATAACGTTTCTATAACTTCTTATACACAAGTAGCATTATTGTTAGTAAATTGGCCAATTCATTGATTGTTTTATTTAAGGTTATTTTGTTATTGATCACCGAACTTTCAGTGAAATCTTAATTGAATCTTTAAACTTTAATTTATTGCAATTAAATCTCTAAATTTCAATTAATTTCAACGCTGGTTACTTTGTTAGTCCCATTTAGGTATGTATGACACCTAGTGAGTGAAAGAGCCTTTTAATTTAGACATGAATAGAGCTATTAGAACATCTTTAATTGCATTCTACCATTGGTATACATGGTGGTGTGTAAGTTAAATATTTTTTTTATCTACGTTAGATTGCTATTAATTTTAAATGCTCACGAAGGATAATGATGTTAATTAAAATAAAGGGGACTAACAAAGTGACTAATATAGATAGTAAATTATAATTAATTGAGATTTTCTGAGTTTTAATTATTAGTTCTTATGACAAGGTGGATGATCAGGCTGGATCCCTCGTGAAAAATTGGTATGGCATTGGGTTAAATATTTCAAAATGAAATTGAATTTTTTTTTTCTTTCAAAAAAACCAATATAATAACTGTATATTAAATATTATTTACTAAAATAAGGAACAAAATTAATTCATTGGGGTCGCTTTAGCTGCTATTAAAGAATGTTGTGTCATTATAATGGATGGAATCTACCATAATCGTATTCCTGTACCTTAGTTAACAAATTTTAGAAAATAAGAAACTCATTATGATAATCCCAATCCTTTAAACAAATATGGATAAATAAAGCCACTTGGTACACATTGTTTGTACATAATTGTGCACATCATCCAAGTTGACAACATGTGATTGATAAAAGGAAAGTGCTGCGTACACATAGCCTTACACTACCCCTCACATGGAGGAAGGTCCACGAATATTTTATTACATGTGAGCCTTCCTCCATGTGAGGGGGGTGTAAGCCTGTGTGTACACCATCGTGTACACATAGCACAACCCTTGATAGAAAGTCTTCTTTAAAAAAAAAAATGTCAAATCAAAGTTTGACACGTGATGGAGTGTACAAAGTTTTACATTATAATGTACATGAAGCATTGTTGAATATGGATTAAATGTTGATACACCAATATCTTCAACTTAGGTGTACGGTGCCGTTTAGGTAAGGTAGGGGAGAGGAGAAATCAATTTCACGCCTACTTCCGTTTGATAAGGCGTAATCTTTTGACATTTTGTGTTAATATTGTAGATGGCTCGTCTCACTTGCGAGCTCGAGCAGCTAAATATTCTTATAGATCATGCGTGCTTGAGTTTTTGGTTCAATTTTTAAAAAAAGGGCGAAAACAAGCATCTCGTTTTGATTCATTTAACAACCCTCAATTTCGTGTTTGATTTTGATTAAAATTTAATTACTTTTGAGTCTGAGAATCGAAAGTTAGATTACCTCATTTATTCTTGATTTTTGATTAAAATTATACAATTAAGTTTCTGTTTGATAAATTTATAAATCATTTTATAAACTAATTAAATTTTATTTTGAACCACGCATTTTCAATATACGGATAAGTACTATGCATTTTTCTACCGTTCATTTTTATCTACTTATAAATTCTTTCCAAATGGAGGCTAAGTTTTGTTTTGGTCCTTAAAATGTATTTTTGTACTCTGAGTCATCATTAAAGCGTTTTTATAACTATATTAGCAATATTAAACTTTAGCATCGATATGCAATTGTGAATACCTTAGCTTGCTATTAAGTTCATATTTGACCCCATTTTTTAAAATTTATTTTCAAAAAAATCATATATTTCATGAAACTTACACGAAATCTACTAAAAAGTTGATTTTTATCAAAATCAGAGAGCTGCTAAAAGAAAGTTCTTAGATGCAATGTCAAAAAAAAAAAAAAAAAAAAAAAAAACAAAAAAACAAAAAAACAAAAAAAGGAAAAAAAAAACCTTGAGAATTAGTCCACTATGCCCATGTTTTTTCTTGATAAAAAATTGTTGCATGTATATAATTTTAAAATCAATAAAAGTTTTAGGTCACGTGAACTAAGAATTGCAGCCCTTGTTTGAGTCCCATTATAAAGCAAAAAATGAATTTTTGAATACTGTATTGATGTAAAATGTGTGGTTTAAAAAGAATAAAAAAATTTAGGATTTACGTGTAATATTATTTTATTGAATAATATGCGATTAAAATGATGTCAAAATACTATTTAAAAAATACATTTTTTTCTAAAGAATGAGGCTCAATCAAGAGCTAAAATTTTGAGAATTACGAGTTTAAAAAATGAGAGTCAAACAAGAACTTTTTAATTGATTCTCATCTTTTTTAAATCAATTAAATATATTTTTCGCTCAAAATTTTAGTAAATATAGCAATTCAATCACACAGAGTGACTATGGTGTCCAATTAAAATGTCCCACACTCTTGTGACCTATGATGTATGAGTTTTAACAATAAAGTTGACGAGATTCTAAAAAATATAGAGTTCAAATTGTACGCTAAAACAAAATTATGTAATACGGATTCAACCAGGGTTAAAATTAGAAAATTAAACGTGTTTTGATCAGTTTTAACACGATGCAATTAATTAATTGCTTAATTTTACTTACCTAATCGATGAGAATAATATATAATTAGCAAATTCTGTTAGGTCTCCTTTTTTTCCATTTTTCTCATATCTTTATAGTACTTTAAAATTTATTATCCATTTAATAAAATTTATAAATTACTTATAAATAAATATATGAACGATCGATAATTTATTTTTATCTATTTATAAATTAAATTGTTTATATATATATAATTTTTCAAGTGGAAGCTAAATAACACAGCCCGTGACGAGGTCAATAACAAAATTACAGGTAAACGCGGGCCTCCTCCGGCCCGTACGCTCAGCCCTAGCCCGAAATAAGTGATGTCTTCTAGCGTCTTCATTTCGAGAAACTTCCCTTAACCCCCTTGTCCACCGTCGACAGGGGACACGTGTCGGCACGCAACTCAAAGTCATAGGAATCAAATATTTGAAAGATAAAAAATAGAGAAATTTTGCATCATTGGTCCGTAATTTATTACTTAAGTAACAAATTTGTTTTTCAACTTTAAAAAGTTGCAAGTTGATTTGGGTTGTAATATATTGTTTGAACTTGTAATCCCTAATTCTTTTTTTAATATATTTTAGACAACTTGGCAAGTCATTCATTCTTAACAATGGAAAGACGCTAAGGTATACGTTGAGATATAAGCTCCATGTTTGGTCCCCATTTTTTCGAAACACATTTTTAATCAAACATTCTCTTACAAAATAATTTTACACACAAATTCACTTTTTTATTTTTTAAATCACTTATTCTTCGATAAAATACTCTTTCAAAATGAATTTTGAACCACAAAAAAAAAAAAAAAGGCTGAAACAAGGGCTAAAAAATATGTAGACGTCTTTCCATTTATTAAGAACAAAGGTTGTGATGATGTGTGAAAAATGCAATTTGAGGGATAGTCAAGGGGGTAGAAAATTCATAATCTCAGTTGATCCTCACAATCTCCAACAGCAGAAGATATCTAAAATCGTCATTGAATTTACATATGGTCCTTATAAAAATGACTCGATTTAAGTTCATTGACAAAGCCTTACTTCATAAAGTTACGCATGAATATCAACCTTACGATTTTTCATTGTTAGCGATTGAATTTCTAACTATAAAGTGGACTGACATGCTCATATCTGATATTTAAAGACCAACAAGTTATTTGGGTAACAGGTTGAGAACCGATAATGTAAATTTTCAAAAAAATTGATTCACATCCCCGTACATATTTTAACCTCGTTTCACCGCTATATAAACACCATTCCCATTACGAACTTGAAGAGAGAACACAACTCTATAGCCGTCTGCTCCCTCAGAAACATCTCTCTTTTCCCTTTATTCTTAAGAAGCCTCTTTAATCTTTTCACAGCATCGTATCTGAATTTATTCTTTTAAAT